ATTTAAAAATAAAAAAGATATTTGAAAAGAAATACACTTGCACCAATTGAACTGTATATGCTCAAAACCGATTTCTTATGAACTATTTTTTTCCAACATCTGCTCATTGCCTAAACCATTAAATTGTACCAATCATTATAAAAATCCACTCAAAATAAGCAAATAAATCATTACCCACTTTATCACAATTACAAAAAATAAAAGGTAAATAAAATTCAATTTATTATAATTTACAAATAAAATATTGCATAGTCATCCAAAAAATGAGTAAGAGAGAATGATGGAGAAAAGGGAAAGAGAAGAAAGTGACTTTGATTTCTTTTTTTTAAAAAAAATTTTGACATCCATTTATTTGATATGTGAATTATGTATCAAGTTAGGGTTAATATAGTCTTTTTACATTTATCAGGGGAGGTAAGTGATATTTCAAAAATCTCAGGAGTGCCAAGTGATATTAGGAGAAATCTCAAGGGAGGTTTCTGATATTATCCCCAAATTCTTCTGTGCATCGGGCTTGATTGGGGATAATACCAAATGAAATTTTTGCATGCAGTCCTAAATTAAGTTGCATGTACCAGGGTAGTCTAATTACAAGTTTAGATCATATATGTCGGTTAAATTTTGTAAAATTCAACGGTATAATGAGTTAAAGAATTTATGAAAAAAAAGAAGAAGAAGAATGCAGAAACAAGTTGAAATGAGCAGAACAGGACGTTCTCTTCATTCTTTTGTTGAATCTCTATGCAGTATTCAAGGTGACTTTCCCGAAAAAGAACAATCAGAACAAATGGTGGGTGCTTTAGGTAGAGAAGAATGCTGGCACCTGCTGAATATAAGCTGGATATTTTGCTGTAATTTCCATTCTGCAAATAAGCAAAAAATTCGAGATTTCAAAAAAAAGTATTGATTTTGTTTTCCGAATTTAAGAAGGAGATCCATTTTCTACACTCATGTAGCTAGGCAAAACAGTTAGCCGAAAACTTCGAGATGTATACCACCAAACTATGAATTCTTCGATCCTATGATGCATGTGGAATGAAGTCCTTCTCCATGCATAAAGATACTTGTAGCCTTGAGCTGTCTATAATGTAAATGCTTAATAGAAGAAGATCATCAAGTGCCCTTTATTTTTTTGCCTAAGTTATAACAAAGGACTGAGTATCCCAACTTGCAAGCGAAGATATCTTTGCTTCTCTTACCTATACTTTAATGTCAAGCTTGACATCCCGTCTAGATTCAAAAGTTCATGGAGATGGGGTTTAGGTATTTTATATGTGCAAGTTTCTAGTTATGATTAACTAGATAAAGTTACAACGATAGTGCAGGAGGAGTGCGGGAGCCATAAATCCAAGTTAGAGGACGTAATTTTCAACTGTTAAGTCAGATGTGATAATGCAGAATGATAGACGTATATTTTACAAGCACCTTTGAATTTAAGTCTAAAGTGCAAAATCTTTTTCTTCTTAGAAGGACATCATTGTTTAACTTGAAATAGATCCCATACTCTAGTGAAACTAAAAAGTAACAAGTATCAAGCTTAGTTGTTTAAGGGGCTACATAGATATAGAAGGGAAATTCACTACTTTTAGGGGAGGCAAGAATGGTACAATTCAAAAAATATTTAAAAATTTAAGCCTATTTTGTGAATTTTGCAAAGTTGGGGGACAAGGGTGCAATTTTTGACTCTCAACTACATGTGGTTCTTGCCATTGTACATAAACATTCTTGGATACTTATTATGGGTGTTTTCTATGATTGTTGCGCCTAATTCTAGATTCTAATTTTAAAAAATCAAATTTCTTTTTGTACTCTCATTCGCTTTTGTCCCAAGATTATGATTTTTCAATAAAAAAAAAACACTAAACTTAAAAATCTATCCAAGAGTAACTTTTGTTAATTCTAATTATTTCACATTTTACGAAATCTATAACAACTTATTACAGTTCTAGTACACAATTAATCTCGGCATATATTCTTTGAATTTTTTGTGAGTACTTAGAAAAGAGGGATGCATATACTAAATCTTTAGATAAGTTTCGAGAATGTATGATTTTTCTTCATGGCGGATTATGTCACCCCCAACTCCAATTCTTCATATTTGACAGATTTGACGACTGAGATTAGTCGAACTTGAGCTCGAGTTGACCTCGGCTGAGAGCAACCCAAGCTCGGCTAGATCCATCTCAGCCATCTTCATATTTTAGATCAACGGTCAAAATCAACATAAAATGGATTGTATTAATCTCGACCATCAAAAAAGTCCTGTGTGATTGTAGGTAGAGGATCCAAATCCAAAAGAAACTCAAACAACTGAAAGAGCCAACAATAATAAAGCACCTTAGATAAAGGTTGCCAATAATCTCTTGGGCTGACAAATAAAACTACTAAGATTGAGATTTGAGTTATTAATGATCATGAAGTCCCACTAAATTCAGTCTTGGTCTAACTATCCCACCGTTCATCAATTAGTTAACGATATGCCTATTGAACATTCCATTAATATCCCAAAAATCACATCTAATTTATCACTAATAACCTTCAGTACTTAACAAGTACTCAATGGCCATCAAAATTGAACACTTGGAGTGCATCTTAACATGTACCCAATACCCACCTGTTAGACAAACCTTATATGTTTTGATCTTAGATTGATTGTAATGTTAATACCATCTAGAACACTGTTAACTATTCACAAAACTTGTTTAGGTTAATCCTTTAAGGGTTTAGCTAAAGGGTGTCTAATAGACACTCGTTAAGAGAGTTTTAAGTGTTAATTCTTGGATATGAGTGTTATTAATTTTTTTTTAAAAAAAATCTATATGCAAGGATGCAATAAATGTGACGCTTGTTAGAAATATTCATCCTTTAGCACATTTGGCTAGATAATTATTGAGTATTGACTATATTAACAAAAAATTGTTTAATTACTAGAATTATGATCACATCAATTTAGATTACTCTTGAAATACCCAAATTATATACTATTAATGAAAATTATTTATCTATGAGAACTATTGAAGGCTTCCAAAAGAGGAAGGCACTCCTCTTTTGGAATCAACTATCTAGCTAAAAATTGGCACTTGAATTATGGGAGGCTTCCAAAAGAGGGAGCCTTCCTACAAAAATTGGGGTATGCCACTAGGTGCAGCGAGCACACGGTATTCTTTAGTAAAAGGCGAAAGAATAGTTCGCTATGTGCTCACTGCGTGGCTCCACGACTGATAACTGCTAAGGAGGACTTCTATATACAAAGGAAGCTGGCTCTCGTCTGCTTCCGAATAGCGATGTGGGACTTCTTCATCCTGTGTTTGCATGCTTTCAAGTTTCAACTGATGCTGTGTGTTATCTGGACAAACAAACAGGAAGTCTAACTGGGTCGATGCCAAATGTGATAGTGCAACAATTTAAAACAAGAAGTTCAAGGGACATAATTGATCTACAATGTCACCTTGAGGATACCGTTGTGATTAGTTATTTGATTTTTAAATGAGTTACTCATGCAATTTAGTCCAACACTTCCAAGAATTTCTTGGTGTTCAATTCCTGTCAGATACCTCCGCAGCAGCAAGGAAGCAAACCCAACAGCCCTTTTAAAATCATCTCGTAGGAAATGTCGAAAATTTTGGAGTCTAACTTGTGTTAATGGCTCTTATTGCTTTTACTCTTGACAATGAAGTATATCACGAAGGTGATAGCTCTTGCGAAAGCTCCTTTATCTGGATTATAATCTGTTTGAATTTGGTGGAGAATTGGGGATCACATCACAGGTTATGATGATCATACTTGTGACAGAATATGCATCAAGGATGCAAATGTGCTTCTTCAAGACAGATCCATGGGAGGCTAAAAAATTTTGTAGACAACAAGCTACGAAGAAGGGCATATGCATTAAGTTATTTCGGGTCAAGCATACGGCAATTATCCAATCTCAACTAAGCCCGACTTTTAGGCCTCACAACTAAATTCTTCCATTGACAGAGAAGCCTGTTTATGCGACACTGAACAAATCAGATTTGTTTACTTTCTTTTGATCAAGAGTTGATTCCTTTTCCATTCGATATCAAGAAATTGCTTCCCTTCCTCTAGTCAAATCCAGTTCAAAACACAGTTTGGCGTCCTAAAATCTTATGTTTCATTTTGAATAAATGTAATGAGCTTAAATTACACAATTTTCATATTGCTTCTCTACTCTTATAAACACTACTGTATACCACATTGTGCAGGGAAAGGCGCAGAAAGTGTGAATTAGCAGTGCTTCAGCACCTGTTCCTCTAGCTTACTGCTTGTACAAAAGCTTTGGACAGGGTTCATAATATAAAACCATGTCTTTCATCCTGTATAAAAGTGGTTTCTTTTTCCTTTCTCTGGAACTCTATGTCAACAATACTGCCGATTGTATACCAAAAAACGTTTCTTTGTCTTGCTTTTCATTCTTGACCTGGCTGAAATTTGTGAGTTGTGATATGATCTTAAGGTGGCACCACATGGTTTAGCTTGACTATGAAGCAAAGCATGTATTTCTAACTATAGTTTCATCTGTCATTTTGAGACAGGATTGGAAGAAGACATCACAGCACAGGTCTAAAGCGTGTCAATGTAATAAAGGGGACAACTACAGGGACTGCCATTTTCCTGCTCAATTTTGTTGCTTCACAAACTAGAGCTAATGTGGTAAATTCTGAAGAAGAAGCAGTTGTTTGGCAGTAAGCCGTGATATTCATTTTTTCTGGTTTGTTCCTCAATGTAAATTTTGTGAAAGTGTATTTGAAATCTGTTCACCTTGGAAAGCAGTTTATTTTTTGCAGCAGTACATCTTTTGGGGAGTGGAATCCCTATGCTAGAACCGTTCTTGAGAATCCCTGGCTTGTGAGAGTGGAAATTCCTCGTGTAAAAGGATGTGGTGATAGACAATGAAATTTCTCCACAAAGCTTGTACCTCGGCTCATACAACTTTGAAGCTGCCCGAGTTTTGATTGTTGCATTTGAAGGAAAATGTAAGATGGAGAAACCAGATATTTCATTTTGCTGCCACGTCTAAAGCAGAAATTAAAGATGTGTGAAGAAGGCATTTCCCATGATTGAAAAGGAAGGATTCAAAAAAATGCTACAGATGCGTTTTCCTACTCCTTTGGAGGTTTAAGCCTTGCTATGAATGGGCTCTAGAATGCTACATAGTCTAGAGGTTTCTAGAGGTATATGCAGATAAATTTATATACATGCATGGATATATATATATATATATATATATCCAGTCTAATTGACTGAACACTGCAGGAATTGTAATCTAGCAATCTAACGTGTGAAAGTATTGTTACCCCGAAAACATAAGATAGATCAGGGCTATCTATAGCTATCCATCTAGATTCCCAGACCAGTAGAGAGGCATGAAAGAAACATAAGGACCTTGTTCTCTGTCCAAGATACAATTCAAGATGGAGACCAGAATGATACCACTCCAGGCCCACATTCTCATGATCATCTGCTAAGTAATTGCCATCCTTTGCAAGACATTGGGAGCAAGTCTCCGATCAGCAGATGCAGAGTGGCCCCTCCACTCTTGTGAAGTGTTTGATTCTGCAAGATTGTTGTTGTCGCCTTCATCATCAGCTTCCTGCTATGGAGTTCAAAAAAGGAAAGTTAACCTATGAAGATTGCTGGAAAAATGGATTGCATATGTTCTAAATTTTGCGTAATATTGGGGTACTTATCCCCCTATTTACCACCAATAAATTCAACTAATCTTACCCTAATATTGTCCAAACATAAAGTGAAGACTTTGGCTCTGGTAATTCCATTGTGTTTAGAGCAGGCGAATCCGCTCATTGCTTGTTTCACACGTTTAACTGGTTCAATTTATCAAGAACTTGTTTCGTAGAGGGACGCACGGACACGGACTCCACGGTGCAACTTGATGCAAGCCTCAACATGGCTAGCAAATCATCGTGCGGACCAGATTGCCATAATTCAGGTGAGAAGAGCTCAAAGGAACGCCCTTCTGCAACCAGTAACCTGGCCCAAGCAACAATATTGAAACCATTTCCATATTCAGAGAAGGAAGGATCAAGAGACTTCTTTCCTGACAGCAGTTCCAAGAGAACCACGCCGAAGCTATAGACATCTGCCTTGTCTGAAACCCTGCAAGTCGTCGCGTACTCTGGTGCAACATAACCAAATGTGCCTGCTACATCAGTGGTGGCATGTGTCTGGAAAACTTCCAGAAGCCGAGCCAATCCAAAGTCTGACAGGTACGCATTGAGTTCCTCGTCAAGCAAGATATTGCTGGGCTTTATGTCTCGATGGACTATGCGCGGAACGCATGAGTAGTGGAGGTAAGTGAGAGCCTTAGCTACATCGACGGCTATCTTGTGTATCACCCGCCACTCTTTATTCATGCATGTTTCTTCATGTATAAAGGTGTCAAGATTTCCCCCGGGAAGGTAGTTGTAGACTAAGAACATTTCAGCCTTGCCAACATAGTATCCCATGAGTGTTACAAGGTTCTTGTGTCTTATTCTTCCTAACGTTCTTATCTCTGCATCAAATTGCTGAATACCTTGAAATCTACCAATTGATAGCCTCTTCACTGCCACGAGGAAGCCAGGGACAAGTTCAGCCTTGTATGTAGACCCAAAGCCGCCAGAGCCGATGAGATTCCCCACGCTGAAATTCCCAGTTGCTCTAATGACATTGTCATAATTCAACCCTGGAGGAGCACCTGTAAAAGTCACTACAACTTTCCTCCTCAGGCTAGCAAGCCTACTAAGCTTTCTCCTCCCAAGAATAAAAACAAATATAACTGCGAGTATCGAAACCAAAACAGACACAGAAGTGGATATTCCTATGACAAAAGATCTCAATTTACTTCGGTTTTGCCACTTGCGCACTTTAAGAGGGAAAGGAAGCCCAGTCGGAGGCGCTGAAGCACCATGATCGGGGCATGACTGTAGAAATGGATTGCCTTTAAAGCTGTCACAGTTAATTGCATGCTTAAAAGGAGGTATGGGACCAGACAAGTTATTGAATGATAGGTCAAGAAGAGCAAGGTTGGAAAGGGCTGCGACTGATGAAGGTACTTCTCCGGATATGCTGTTATGATCTAGCAACACAATTTCAAGGTTTTTTGCATTGCCAAGATTTGTTGGAATGTATCCTCTGAGATCATTATGAGATAAATTCAAGGCCATCAGCGAAGTCAATTCACCAATTTGATTTGGAATTTCTCCAGTCAAATTGTTCTCAGCGAGAAGAACATGTTGTAAGCCTTCCAACTCCCCAAGTCTCTCGGGCAGGTAGCCAGATAGTTTATTTCTGCTGAGGTCTAGATGTTGAAGCTTTTTCAAGTTCCCCACCTCTGCTGGGATGGAACCATTTATCAAATTCTGTGCAGCTTCAAAGTAAACTAGGCACGAGCAATTGAAAAACTTGGCGTCAATCTCTCCATATACTTGGTTGGAATTCAAATTCAAATAGAAGCTTCGCAGATTTTCACAGCTGGGCAAAGACTTGCTCGACAGAGTCGCATTGAAAACATTATTGTTTAAGAACAACCAATATGATACTTTGACAGGAGCAGCCAACAAAATAGAGAAGAAGGGCAGTGGACCAGAAAAGTAGTTCCAGCTAAAATCATGAGTTACTACAACTGGAACATCACTACCCAGCAAAGCAGCTCCAGAGAGATCAATATCTTGAGAATGAGATGCCCAACAAGGACTGATAAAAGAGTAAGCAGTATGAAGAAGGCCTTCCTCAGCTTCCAAGTCCAGAAGGCCTAGCAGGTCTACTCCACAAGAAGATTTCACGGCCAAGCCACCACATCTGCTGCTGTTTCCGTTGGTATCAAAAGTATCCTGAATAAGAATAAATCCAGAAAGGGAATTTCGGCTTACGTTGAAATAGGCCGTACAAGGGATTTGGAAATTCGGCGGCAAATAACCCTGCAACGCATTTGAACTCAAGTCCAAGAAAGTGAGATTAGTACACATGGCGGCCAAGCTGTAAGGCATAGAACCAATGATGTTATTGAGGGCCAAGTTGAGAACCCTGAGAGAGCAAGATGGCGTCCATTTAGTAGGTAATGGTCCAGCCAGATTGGCCCTGGGAGCCCAAAGCATTTGAAGATTGGGAAGAAGCAAGACCTGGAAGGGTAGGCCTCCATTGAAGGCATTAAATTCTCCCCTGAAGGTGGCAAAATCGAGGCCTGACGGTGGTGGAGAGTCAGATTCAAGCAACAAATTGGTCAGGACAAGAACGGAGAGGCTCTTGCAGTTGGCAAGCTCAATGGGGATGGTGCCGGTGAGACTGTTCCTGGATATGTCGAGAACCTGTAGTCGAGAGAGATGGCCTAGTGTTGAAGGGATCTTGCCTTCGAAGAGGTTTCCGTTGAGCAAGAGAGCGGTGAGATTCGAACATGTGCCTATGTTAGCGGGAATGTCGCCAACCAAGAAATTGTTAGAGAGGCTCAAGTAAGTGAGAGATTGGGGGCATCCATTGGAACTGGATTTGGACGAGGATAGGGTCCCTGAGAGAAGATTATTGGATAGATCGAGGACAGCCAAGGCCCCGGTGGAATTTAGGAAACCTGGGGGGATGGAATTGGAGAGAGAGTTGTGGGATAGGTTAAGGAAGCGAAGTGAGAGAGATAGGGAGAGCGAATGGGGAATGGAACCGGAGAGATTGCAGCCTTGGAGCTCCAAGATTTGGAGAGAATTGAGAGAACCGAGTTGTGGGGGAATGTGCCCAGAGAAGGCATGGTGAGCAAGGGAGAGGGTGCGGAGGTGGGTGAGGTGGGCAAGGGAAGGAGAGAGGGTGCCGGAGAGAATGTTGAACCCATTTGGTTGTCGGCCTTGGGAGGGGATGGTGAGGTTAAGAGAAACGACCCTGGAGGAGATGGGATCACAGGAGACGCCGAACCAGGATGAGGAGGAGGAAGAATTGGAGCAGGGATTAGGTGAAGTGTTCCAGGAGCCAAGAAGGTTGGAGGGATCGGAGTAGATCATGGACGCCTTGAAGCTCAGAAGCCAGGTAGCATCATTGTCTTGGTCTTGGTCTTGAGAAAGAGCTGCAGCATTAAACCGGTGTATTGGAGTGAGAGCAAGCATGGAGAAGAGGAGGAAGAAGAAAGTAGGAAAGAATGCTGCACTGGATGTCATCTTGAACAAAACGACCGAATAGCTGCTGCTTGCAGCCTCCTCTTCCTCCTTGCAGAGAGCAGCAGCTTGATCTAACCTCTGATCATTGGCTTATTTGCCTTCACTTTTCATGGAGGTAGGCGGGCTTGGTATGGTGGTCTAATCTGAATTCTTAGTTACTTGGATATGTTCATTCCAAGTTTGTTTAGCTGATAAAGAGAAGAAGGCAAAACGTGGGGGGGCAATCCATATAATGTAAAATCACACATTAATTCAAGTTTCATTACATGTAAAAATTGTTGAAATGAGAGAGTGAGAGAAAAGGGATATACCTAAGCAAGATATTCGAAAGTGTTGCTTTTGTGGGCTAGCTTGCAGACGAGATCTGGTATACTGTGTAGTGCCAAGTACTTTCAATAGCAGACAATAAAGTATAAGGAGGAGGAGCTTAGGAGCAGAGCTGAGAGATGATTAGCGGAGCAGAGACGGACTGACGTGCGTGGTAATTGGTGAGCAGTAAAAGTGCAGCAGCAGCAGCAGCTGAAATGAGAAAATCTCCCCCAAGCCCGCCAGTCAGGTTCCGTAGAGTAGGAAAGCACTCTTCAATAATAATCACTGAAGCATAATAGGACTTGGGAGTCCATTCACAGATACTAGATAAGATCTTGAGATTGCTTGATCATCCATGATCGTCAGAATCTGTCCTATACTGGTATCTGCAATGAATTGACTACTTCCTTCTCCTCCTCCTCCCCTGCTGAAGTCAAAACTTTGTGACTGGATGGAAGGTTAAGCTTTTCTTCAGTCCGATGCCCTGTTGCCGCCTCTCTCAACTCTAGTCAAAATTATTTGTAGCTGTCGTTAACTGATGGAACATTTTTTTTTATATCAGAGATACTGGAATTGTGGAATCCTTGTCGATTGCTCTGCTTGCACTTTGGAATGTTGGTTTTTTGCTAGTGTCCTCAGGCAAAACAAAAACAGCCGGCCATGGGCCCATCGGCATCTACCTCTATCTCTCTCCTTCCCACTACCTCATTGGCCTTCTTCTTGTTCTGCTCTTCCTGTCACACATGCCTGTCTGCTCTGTCGTCGCGGCCTCCCCTTCCAGGAATGGAAACAGTTAAACAAATAAAACCATCACTCAACACCCCATTTTGTTTGGCTATTCATTCAATACATTCAACCATGGTTCGCCATCGCGGGTCGCAATCGCATCGCGGTCTCGATTGTTCCACATCCGTCGCGGCATATCGGTTGAATATCGGATGATACGCATATTATAATACATGAAAGTTTTCAAAAATTTTGAAAAAATTACTAAAATTAAAAAGTACCAAAAAAGCATAGATTAAAAAAATATCCGAGTCGACTCGAATATATCGGCTGATATTATGCATCACGGATTCAAATCAGCTAATATCGGCCGAGTCAGAGCGAGTTGTCGCGGATATGATAATATCATCATATCTGCATTTCGGGGATCGGTATCGTACCGTTTCCTCTGTTCTAGTTACGACTCGGCCGATACGTATGGCGAACTTCAACAGAAAATTTTTTTTTTGTCAATAATTAATTGAACATTTGAACTTGTACATGGGAGTTTCACCCACCACAATGACCTCCAAACTGAGACAATAAGACATGGACTTATTAACTAATCTGTCATAATCGTTGTGGGTTCAAATGGTTAAGGCCATTGATTTCTTGTTTAGAAAGTCCATGTAGTTAGTAGCCCACTGATAAACGGTGACTGAGTAGGTGTAGTTAAGGACTTTGGCCATCATCAATGGTGGCATTCGAATCGCTCCAACTCGACCTTTACTGATAATAGTAACAACAGATGATGTTGATTGCAAGATTTATAAAAAAAAAAAAAAGAATCTGGAAAGATAAACAGCTATTGTTTATACATTTATCAACCAGCTGGATCCAATAGTCAAGACTCATTTCTTCTTTGAGTGCGCGGTCTAGTTCCATAGCCACCTAACTCGTGGCAATGGATACTATCCAATCTCTGATCAATGATCAAAGGATACATAGTTTTGCAGGCTGAAAAGGAAAACATGATATATCAGATGCATCTCAGATTGTTCTTGTAGAATAAGTATATATATATCTTGAAGGGTTCTCAAATAAATGAACAGCACATAAGCATATATGATTACTAGACCTATTGGAAAGTAGCTAAATTATGTATTTTATGATCATTGCCATGATTTCTGTGTTCTATGGTGGGCAAATGATCCGTAGAGGAGGATGATGACAACAATGACAAAACTTAAAAGCACTCCGAATGAAGAATGCATCCATGCTTTATCATTAATATCAATCTTATTTTAGCCCCTCTTAAGTTATCAGAGGAATTGTAGGAACTACAAATTTAGAAGTGGGTAAATTAGGCATTACAACAAAATAAAAGGACATGATTATATATATATATATATATATATATATATATATATATATATATATCTCTATATATATATATGTTTTTTTGTGTGTGTGTGTGTTGCATGTGTTATTGTCAAGACTCAAGAGTAATTTACTGTTTAATCTTCCAATGATCATCATATTACTCCCTACGTCCCACTTTGATAGTCCTGTTTTCCTTTTTCATTTGTCCCAAATTGTAGTCCACTTTCCAATTGAAAAATGTAGTTGTATTTTAATTTTCCTAAAATGCCCTTATTCAATGTAAGTTGTTGTTACTGTAAACCTATCCCATTTAATGAGAATTGATTCTTTTTTTACCATCAATTCAAATTCTCATAAGGTTGTACTCTAATTAATGTGAGGGTATTTTAGGAAAATAACTACCTAAATTGATTGTTCCAATAAAGTTAACTACTTTTTATTAAACTGTGTGAAAAAAAAATCAGGACTATCAAAGTGGGACGGAGGGAGTATAACATAATAAATGTGTAATCATATCAACTTTGTGATTGTTATTCTTTTTCAAAGCCTTTTCCCTGATTTATTATTTTTTGTATTTTTTTTATTCATCTCCTGCAAGACTAAATTAGAGATAAATGCCAATGAGATTAAGTAAACTTTTAGTTCAAAAAAAGAGAGATAATTAAATTTTTCACAATCACAAACTATAATTTTTTAATCCTGGATTCGAGACCTTCCATTTATACCAAATATATATATATATATATATATATATATATCTTACTTTTCTGAGCCTAAATTTGTTATAATTAATATACTTAGCAACAAAGGCTTAATACGTTTTGCAATTGATAGAGGTGCTTTGTTTGAACGATATTTTGTACAGCTAATTATTTTTTCTTCAACTAAAAAATAATTTCACAAATTTTTTGATGGATGATGAGGCGGCCATCTATGTACGGCAAAATAAAAAACTATCATCAAAGTGTGGGTCTTTTATGATACTAAATAGTTTCTGCAGAAGAAGATGAAGTAATTATCTCACCATTGTTAGAAATTTTTAACAAGATTGGACAGGTGGAGATGAAGAAACTGCCTTTACAAAATGAATAAAATTTCTGTTGCACAGACCACTTAGCAAAGGCGATCGAATAGATTTGATCCTTAATGAAGCCTTGAAGAATACATAAAATGGCTTCAAGACCGAACTTATTCTGGGAACATTAGTTAGATAATCGTGAGATCTCTAATTCGACTTTTAAATCCTTCCCTTTTTTCTTTTATTTATTGTAAGGTTGGAGTCTTATCTTAAACTAAAATGCTATTATAAGTAATTATATCACTATGTTCTGGTTGCTTCAAAAACTCTAATAAAAACTTAAGATCCAACTTCATTTTTAATTGATTTATTCCTAGGTATCTTAAATCCTCCCCCTCCCCCTCCCGCTTGTCATTTCTTTCTGTTCTTCCTTCTAAAGATTAATGCTTGGTTGTTTCAAGCCTGTTTGGGTTGGTTTAGTACGTAACTCTTGTTTTCCAGTTTCGTAGGCATTTAAGCAACAGAATCAACTGTCTAGCTAAAAATTGGCACTTGAATTATGGGAGGCTTCCAGAAGAGGGAGCCCTCCTACAAAAATTGGGGTATGCCACTAAGTGCAGCGAGCACACGGTATTCTTTAGTAAAAGGCGAAAGAATAGTTCGCTATGTGCTCACTGCGTGGCTCCATGACTGATTAACTGCTAAGGAGGACTTCTATATACAAAGGAAGCTGGCTCTCGTCTGCTTCCGAATAGCGATGTGGGACTTCTTCTTCCCTCTCCTGGCGCACACACTCCTTTGACTCTTAATTCCAGGTGCAGGTTCATCTGCATCTATGCCATCAGATTGCCTATGTAACTTTGACAAACAAACAGAAAGTCTTAATGTAATTTATGCAAAACCTGAAAGTGCAACAGTTGAACATGACCTTGAGGATACCGCTGTAGTCCTGCAAGTATCCTTACTTATATAGCACAGCAGATGCATTCTTGCTGTCAAGTTAAACAGGTCTAAGTTCTTCTACTCGTAATTTTTTGGGGTTTATAAGCCAGATTCTTTTAAGTTCGGCCACTGCAAAATTCACAGCATAATTGATGTTTAGACTGTTGGGTTAGCCAAATTCACATCCCCCAAAGTATACTTGCTTCTTTTCTTTTTTTTTTTTTTCTGGTTCAAAACTAGGCCGAAATTAGAGCTGCACACGAATCAACCTGCTTGCGGGCAACTAGATTCAAAGCTCAATGATCGAGCTCGAACTCGAGCTCGCGTTCAAGTTGATTAAGTCGAACTCGAGTCCAAATATACTCAACTCGTTAACTCGCAAGCCAACACGATTTTATACATATATATATTTTTTATTTTAATAGTGAAATAACATATACATATATATTTATTAAAAAATTATTATTTTATTCATTTTTTAAAAAATAAAATATTTTTTTTAAGCTCGAACTCAACTCGACTCGAGTTAACTCGAGTTTTATATTGAGAACTCGTCATGTTCAAGTTTAATGAAATTAGGTCGAGACTCGACTCAATTAGATGAAAATTCGACTCAACTCGTTTGCAGCCCTAGCCGCAACAAAAGAATTATTGTAACTAAATTCCATCCTAAGGTCCAATAAGAATGCATGGTAGTCGCTATATATGACCTAAGAGTAATGGACAATGAGACTTGGTAGTAGATTTTTATTTTTCTTCATAACATCAATAACTTGCACTCATTGATTAGAGACGGAATAAGCCAAAATGGCTGAAGAAAGACATTGATCAGGTGGAACATTTCAGCACACCTGCACACCAGATACACATTTAGCAGACTGAGCTAAACTACGAGCTATTGCATTATAAGATGTAGGACACCAATTATGGACCTTAATTCTTGATGTAAGGAAACATATTTCTAATATGTTGCCTTCAGCCTGCGAATGACTGACTATAGGACTAGAAAACGCTTGAAAGCAAATTTCAATTATATACCAAGAGGCAACAACTAATAATGCAATGAGAAACATAAAAGTAGTTTGCTTGTTTTCCCTACTTGTAGTTGTCAAATACATATGGTATACTTGTTTTACAGTTTTCATAAAAATTTTGTTCATAAAAATCGTGGGAGAAGAATGTCTTAAAAAAAAAAAAAAATTGCACATCTTCCTTTGCCCATCTACTGCCAAGTATATATGACATAGTGATATGAAATTAAATTTTGGAAGTAATATACCTGAAAATACCTAATATCGTGTTATAACTAAGATAAATATTGTATTGGAAAAATGGTCATTTTGGTCTCTTATATTAGGAGTTTTAGCCAATTTAGTCCCTCATCTTAACTATTAAAAGTTAAAAGTTAAAATTTTCTCATCCCAATATATTTTGTTTGCATTAGGTTGATATTTGAAGACTTTGATTGATATGGCATTGTACATTTTTACCATTAAAATCATGTATGCCTTTCACAAAGGGCATTTTAAGAGAGAAAAATAGACGTGCGGAGCACTATAGCGAACTGGAGAGGGACTAGAACAAGTACTAGGAAAATTTGGAAGAATAGTTTGAATTGGAATCTAGGCCAATGTATTGTATTATATGCTAATAGATTGTTGCTTGATTGTTCCAAGCATGTTTAGGCATGCGTTGTAAACAACAAATCTAATTATATAACACCCTTTTATCATGTTAAATTATTTTGCAACTGCTTCAGGATAACTTACATCTAATAACCAGTTTGATTTGCAAAGGAATTTTGTTTTAAGGAAAATTTTTTCACAGTAATGCTACCACTAATTACTGAAACACTTGTGTTTCAAAATGTTGCCAAACTATTGTGCTTCATGTGTCTTAATAACTTGTATAGATAGGTGAATGTAAAATGATTTCTGCAAAAGTTGACTTTTTTTTATCAATCCTCACTTTTATTTATAATAGTATCCTATACTATTATTATCTAAGGAGGAAACCCAACTGGGTTTAGAGGGTCGGTGGGGACTGAATCACCACCGGATCAGACGAGTGCACTACGTATCGTCTGAATTTTTAAAAAACTACTAAATGTAGCAATTGACGGGAAGCAGGGGTTGCCTTGCCTCCTACCCCACCACGCCTTAAATAACTTAGTGGTGGTCACCAGCTCAGAGTCTGTGGTTGCAAAAGTTGACTTTGGGGAGGAAATGTTTATTGATCCTTGTCTGTGTCGGAAAATATGCCAACCAAATGGAGCTAGAAAAATGTTCTTGTCATCTTGTGATCTAGAGCTTTTATGGTTTTGAAGAACGATAACTCCATTCTCAACCAGTGTTTCCAATTCTGCAATTAACAAACTGCAGAAATCCCGAACCAAGAAGAGTATCAATTGCATCTAAAGTCATACTTCTCGGTTTTCCAAGATCGAAACTTTTAGAGCCGAGGGTTTACCTAAGCCGATAATATATGTACTTAGAAGTCTAGAAGCAAATTGAAAATAAATTGTACGTTTGCTCAATGTATCAGTGTTGAACACTTTATAGAGGGAGGAAAGATTCTTTGCATAGTTCAGGTGAGATCAGACGCCTTATAATAGCTTCCAGATAGTTGATTTCATGTTGTCTCAGATCAAGTTCTTGCATCAATAATAAAGAAATATAAGCGTACAGAATCCTTCTTGCCCTTCGGCAGTAGTTTAGGAATGTAGTGCTTAAGCAGTCTGCGCTTCTAAGAATGAGTTCAGGTCCTCTCTAGCCTTGTGCAGGCGAACATCATCTGTAACGCAAGAAGTCGGTGAGGCTGGGTAAGATGTGGGAGAAGAAGTAGAAAATCGAACGTGACGAGATGAATCGGGTGATTTTTTTGATGCTGTTCTTGACGAATTTTTCTTTAGAACCCCTTTTCGGTCCTTATCGAACACAAAAGCTGCTGTTACTGGGGAATCTGTATCACTAGCACTGCATCTGATCATCTCCAATGGAAGATCGTAGAAGAGATTGGAGGCATCTTTTTGGCTTTCAGCATCGTCTAATATGGCGGATGACCTCCAGGAACCACATTCAAATTTCTCGAGCGAGACCCTCTTGGATACTAATAGTGCTAGGTTCTCCGGTCCCTGAATATGCACCATTTCTGCTGGTTCTTCCTTCCTGGCTCTAACTGGTTTTGCTCCCTTGCCAAAGCCTGGCAGGAACAAGCACAGAGCTCCACATTTAAAGTTCTCATCGACAGAATCTGTCGCCTTTTCAGCGCTATAACTCTTCTTGTGCTCCAAATTGGGTTCGGCCGTATACATGTAGTTCTTGTTATTGCTTTGATGATCATGCTTCACACTGTTAGATTTTGCCACCCATTTAAGGTCAAAATCTTCAGGTGGGGCGCTTGTCCTTCCTTCACCGCATGACTTGCTTCTCCGAAGATGGCTCGCCCGTAACCTCTCGAGATTTGTAAGCGCTATAGAATCTCGGTGGAAGAAAGGGTTGACAGAGAGAGAAGCCACTTGGTTTAGATTTTTTGATTTCTTCTTTGGCAGCATTGTGCTAAACTTAGGTGAGGAAGAGGCAGAGTTTGGCAGGCTGTAGCTTAAGAACTTTGGCTTTGTAGGTGGATGAAGGGGTGGAAGAACGGGTATCATCAACTTGGAATTCGCTGATTCTCTGAGGGAGAATGGATCAACAGAAATATGCTTCTCACTTCCCATGCTCTCTGAATCAGAAAGCAGGGAATACTGGATGTTCTTTTTAGCACATACATGAAGAAGATCTGCAACTGAAATGAAAGATTCATCTGCTTCCTGAGTGTCCATGATAAGTGCAGGCATGTCCACTCTTTGAAGCCGAAGTATTCACCTTTGCAAAGGGTCAGAAAAACGATACTTCTCTGTTGGATTTTGGCAATTTAAGAGAAGGTGGGAAGCCAGCTTGAGTTAGAACGTGTAGGGCATGTCCTCAAATCTATTAGTCGTGATTCCCATGTTTTCTCCTGACTCCGACAAAACTAATACTACATAGTCTCCAAGACAATTATTTAATGTACAGATTGTCAAAAGAGAGAGAAAGAAAGAACATAAAAATTGCCTTTCTTGGGACAAGTCTGATGAATTTTCAAGCTAGATCAGTAAAGCAACTATAGTTTGCAAAACTGCCAGGTTTAAGTGCAGACAAGAAAAGATAAAGTCTAAACAGAATGAGACCAAAAGACAATGAAACAAATTTACATAATAAGATGCAGAGGGCAGGATAGAGACTGAAGCAAGAACAACTCAGTATACAAGCATATTAGAATGTTAACCACTAATAGTCTCGTTGACATATACAAGCTCAGATAAATCGACAACCAGTTGTGTCGTGAATACTTATGAGCTTATCTTTTGTGTCTGTGATGTGTGGAGGCTTTTATTGTCACACAGCAGAAATTTTCATTGCAAGGAATTGTAGAATAAGAGCAACACTACAGAGATCCCAATTATGACTGGAAGTGCTGTGACCAAGTAAAGAGCTCCATATCCCTGCATGAGACAATGTTCTCAGTCCAAAAATCAGGGCAAACGGCAAAATGCACAGAAAGATCCTGCACAAAGCACATTCTACTCTGTCCTCCAATGGAAAAAGTAAATATCCAGATAAGAATTCTCAATAATTGTTTCTGGCTTTTGTTTTTCAATTTACCTTGCATCTCAAAATAATTCAACCTTTGATTGACCTAATATTTTCCATCTGACTTTCACACGCATCTTGAAAACAAACACCCAGTTTGTCATTCTTTCGTCCCTAAGAAAACAGTTTTCCTCAAAATGAAAGCAACAACCTACTAGCTATGTTTTCAATAACCTACCAGTTTTCCTCACAGAGATATGAAGCATTGGAATGGTAATCACGTAAAGTATCAACATTTTACTATCTAAAACCCAAAGCTTTTCAGCTAATGAACAACAACTATTTCAATCGGACAGAATAAGAATTTCAAATTGTAAGCTATAGAGAATAGTTTAACAGTCACCGGAGAAGATATCTTAAACTTCTGAATAATAATATTTAGAGAATCTGAGTTTCTAATTTGTCTATATTAGAAAGAAGGCATCAATTGTGCTTCAACTTCAAATACAACATCTTTTAGCTTGTAAGTGGCTCGCATTGGCTTTCCCAGCTCGTAACCAAAGTACATCCCTCTTCAGATTATATTGACTTGATCAGTGTCATTGAATATAATGGCATATTTGGTGCAATGTGTTTGATGCATTAAATAAAGTTATGAATATCGCCATGCACATTAGAGTTGTTTTGACACCCTTAACTAGATGGACTTGATATCTTAAAAGAACTTTGTACTCTCAAATCGACCTCCAATATGTTAACTTTGCTAAGATGAAAAATTTATTCATACAGCTTATAAAAATACCATGCCATGGATTGGAAAATTGACATATGACAGTTCTTATCCATCTTGTCCTCAAAGACCACAAAGAAGCAAAAGTTGCAAACAGAAAGTGGATCTGAATGATACAATAGAAGGGACACTGCAAAGCAATGCATCGATCATGAATTGGAAATATTCAGGGAAGCAGATCAAACCACAGCAGGAGGCACATCCACATCGTCACTGTCATCTTCATCCCCAAACTCAGCAGCAGCATCCCAGTCTACATTGAGTCGCTTAGCAGCCTCTTTTGGATCAATACCAGTGTCTGTTGTTTTTGCATAGAGAGATTTTCCTGGACTTTTCTTCCTTGGTGCTTCTTCCTATCCAAGCAGCATTTAAATTTGCTCAAAAACTATGTTCACATTATCATCACTCATTGCTGAAAAGCTGTGTGTGTCATTCTTGAAATTGAAATGATCTCATAATCCATAGCAGAAGTTGAAACAAATAGAATCGAATTTCACCATGTAAAAGCAAAGAGAACGGAAAAAGAAAAAAAAAGTAGAATAGGAGATCCACAAATTAATACTGGAGAAACTTCATCCAGTTAACTTGGAAAACAAACAGAGGAGTAACACAGAAGGTATACATGTACTTCTACAGGCTCGGCAAAAACAGAAAATGCAGATAAATCAGGTGCAACTGAAACAGTGGTTATGATTACTATTAACACAATGTAATATCAATTTTCCAGTGAATTGAGATGGAGGTAAAACTTTCAATAAAACTTTAGTAGAATTGCAAATGACCTATATGCAAATCACTTTCACAAATTCATTTTTTATGTCTTCAAAATATTTGCCATCCTGCCTTGAGTTCCGCCACCCCACAACACAATAACTGGGTGAATTGATAAATTAGTCCTTTTCTACCAGATAAAACCTTAACACGATATAGTAAATTTAAGTACATGAAAAGGACCAGACAAAATTAAAAAATCATAGCATTCTAATTCAATCACTAGCATCACAACTTTATGTTATCTATACTATGAGATAAAAGCAAGCAGCTTCAGGTTTTAGCAAATAACTTTTGAGTTTACAGGTAGAAGCAGGATTACAAAATACCCACATTACTTAAAGTTGACGTTGAGAACAATAGAAAATACAAACTTTCATGACTAATATACTCTTTAACATTTCAAAATATACCTCCAAGTTCGGCCATGAAATCATTTCTTCTGCTAGCATCTTCAGAGCAAGACGATTTTCAGGAACTTTACCTTTATTTACCTAAAAATGTAGGAATAAATAGGATAAGGTTTCACTCCAAGGCAAATTAAACATGACCAGACACATTAAAATTGTTAAAGAAATCCAACAAACAAATCAATCCTCAGACACAGAAACAATCAAAGACTCAAATTGAGAATTCCAGATACAGAAGATCATACACGTCTTTGCAGTTGAATTCCGAGCTGGCATCTAACCAAATCAATTATGGAGTCTCATTAAGGATAAAGTACCAAAGTGGTCACTGAAATATCTTAACTTTATCGATATGAATACTCGACTGTAAATTTCTGTAAAAGGACACTCAACCTCTTGTCCATGGTAAATATCCATCCATTTCAGGTCTATTTATGCTCTCAAACTCTTTGGCTGTGGAAGAATCTAAAGGTTTCTAGTTCTACCAACTAGTGTAGACGTATCTGCTAGATAATTAACACACAGTTGATATATGAATTCAATTGAAATGAAAGATGGTATATAAACAACTTTTTATATTATAGGATAGCAGCTTCCAGAACGATTTCGAAAGACCTGAAAAAGGCTGTCAATGGGAATATACAGCACAGTATCAAGGGTGAAGAAAAGGATTTGTGTAGAGAAAACATCATAAATTCAAGTACACAAACAAAGTAGATACACCAACCCTCAAAGAAGTGAGAAAGGATAAAAAATGTGAAGTGGATAAACATTGCAAGTTAGCAAAACTCAATACATCATGTAAACCATACCTAGGAACCGTATAAAAAAGATTTACAGCATTTTTGTTTTCTAGTGTGATAAACAAGTCTTCTTCAACCATCACAATGACTTGAGGCAAAAGAACTTCAATTAATCTTATGCTTCCATTTGCTAAACTGGAATTACTGTCATTTGCTTAGCCACCCTGATCAATGTCAAAATGACCTTCTGCATAACATCAAGGAATGCTAATTAGTTACCTATATCCAAGATACATATTGCCCTTTGTAGCATGTGACAATTTGTCACTTTTGGTATTCTCTTCATGTTTTCAGAGCTACTTCAAGCATCTTATTTACCATATATGTCCTCTTAGTTGAAAGACTAATAGCCTAAACCACTATGATCACTAAGAGGCAAAAATTTTCATTCGCTAATGCAATCCATAAATACGTGTGAGGATGAAAACCCAAATGGAGACAGTAAAAATGATAACTTTATACAATTTACTATCACTCCTTTACTCGTCTTTGATGAAATAGTTCTCGTATTTTCCTTGATAATGAATTTTGGTGTTCTCAGTTGCTGGCAGAAGGACAAGATTCTTATTCTTGTCTTTTAAACAAGCATGATGAATATATAAGCATTTTCAGGAAGTTCATAACATATCCCTAAAACTAGATAAGAGATTATCTGCCTTGTTCAAAGATCTTTCCATTTGCTAAACTGGAAGTTACTGTCATTTGCTTAGCCACCCTGATCAATGTCAAAATGACCTTCCATATAACTTCAAGGAATGCTAATTAGTTACCTATATGCAAGATATATATTGCTGGTTGTCAAGACATCCATACCCTTGATCTCTTCTCTTATCTACTCAGAGTATAAAGATAACGTTCTTGACCTCTAAACAATATTCTTAGCATTTGCTTTTTCCATGTTTAGATGTTAAATGGTTAATGTTCCAAGAATTAAGCATGCCTGAATTTCACTGGTTAATTAGCTATTTTAGGTCAATTCCAGCATAGTCTCTGTCAACGAAAACTAATCTTATTATAGTTAAATTCACATAATCATGGAGCTTCCGATATTGAGTTATTCTATAGACAAAACTAATACTACCAATAAAAGACATGTTTCTGTAGTCACAGAGGGTTCGAACTCACTTCTTCTAAAGCATCAGCCAAGTCATCCCTTGTTGGAGCATTTTCATCATCAATGCCAAGCAGCCGTCTCCTCTCAACATCCCTGGGGTCTTCAATCATTACAGTTAACTTTATCTGCAGGTACATAAAGAGTTAATTGCTAAAGAAGCTGCAATAGAAGCACAAATTCAGCCATTGCCGCAGCAGAACAGAACTAGAAGAACAATTATTCAGAGGATGGAGAAACAGTGATAAATGATTCAAATAACAAATGATGCCAAATGACATACTGGGTCAAATTCAGCAGTTGATTTCCGTGCTACTTTTTACAAATATGAAATTCAAGTGAAGCTAGAAAGCAAAAGAGGTGAGAAAATTAAGATCCACAAATGCCAAACAATTACAAAAATAATAATACTAATAACATCTGTATTTTGTGACCCAAAAACAAAGGCAAATCATGAATGCTGTTTCCCCTCATTCCCATGACACGGCCAACTCTT